GAAAAACAGGGTTGCCTAAGATTTAGCACTTATACCATCACATTGCACATTTGTGTGCGAAAACACATAAATGTTGGCAGAAGAATCCCAAGTTCTTATAAATCTCAGGAAAATAGGTAGACAGAGGGGAAAAAATTAGAGCTTCAAATAAGAAAGAGGCCCCAGAGGGAGCCCCCCTGTATTCCTGGATACCAAAGTGTCCACATGGGGCTTTGGTGTCTAATGAGCTATAAGCAAATGAAGTCACAACAAAGGGCTTCATTAATTCTGTTCCTTATAACGACTAGTAGATGTTCTTTTCAATGCATTATTAATTGATTGAACTCATTACCTAAAGATGGTGGTGAAGTACTTAAATAAATTCAATGGAAACAGCCAACAGCCTTTATGTTTGAGAAGTTAAGGGATACAAATTAAAGCCTAATCTTTTAGGACAGTAGGACATTCACAGGAAGGAAAATGAGGCAACCTTTTTCATAGACACTGTATTTTGTAGCACCTGGTCTCAATCCTCTAGAGAAACAATTCTGCAATACAGAAATTCTAAGCCACAAATTACACTTCAAGAAGCAACTTACAGTTCTCTGAACAACCTGATCAAGCTGTAGATGCCCCCATTCTTTGCAGGGGGAGTTGGCCTGGATGACCTTTAAAGGTTCCTTCCAGCTCCAACAATCCTATGATTCTATGCTTCCAAAATTCTCATACGTGATGTGCAATCAATTCCTACACAAATAAGCCCTATTTCATAGGATAGAAGTGAAAATGACAAGTACGAAGACCTGTTCAATGAACTAGTACTCACTACCCACCCAGGATTCATAGAAGCTAAATTTTTTCCAATTACAGTAAATCTAGGTGGTCACATATCAGTGATTTATTCTTGTTCTGTTCATATTCTTTCTCTAGTCCTTGCAATGATTTGCAGATTGCATTTTACTCTATCCAGAGTTTTTTAATTCTTATTTATTTAGGATAGTGTACCATTCTGTAATACCTTGAACTTCTGACATTACATTTTCTATTTTAAGTAGTCCTGCCCAAACTTGTGCAAACACCAAAACCCCTTCACATCACTGAGCTCATGGGGTTTCGGACCATGACATTATCATGCACCCTCAGATGAAAACAAAGCACATATGCCTTCTGCTCATTAAGAAGCAATGATTTCAAGCACAGTTAGATGGATGGCCAAGCCATTTCCTCATTCACACCTGTAAGATGCAAATAAAATGCTTAGGGCGAGCCCAGATGCTACCTCACTGAAAAATACACAAAATAAACATAGTATTAAAGCCCAAACATTTTAATTATCCTGTTTTATCCCACCTAAAAATAAATACTGTATGTGTTGGAAGACATCTCCAAATAGGAAGCGTTAGAACAGAGAAGAATCACACTGCTTATTGCCAGTCCTTTATTTTTCTCTTCTGCTGAGAACCCAGTTATTTCTTCTCTCTGTACCTACATTCCAGCACATTCAAGGAGATAAAATGTTTTAAAACGTAAATACTACTTGGGAAATTGTGCTATTAGCTAGCATTCTTGACTCCATTTGTCCATCCCAAAAAGTCACTTCTACATTTTGTTTGAGACAGACCAGTCACCCACAAGACTGAAACAATTTACTGTAATAGAAATTGGCCCACTCCCATTATACTCATTTTCCTGCTGAAATGAGGAATAGTTCCTCATTCTACTCTCTTCATTTTGCAAACACAAAAAAACACCCAAAACAATGCAGTGAGAAAAGTTCTGGCAAGTCCAATCCCAAAACGTGAGATGGAAGAGCAATTCTCTATGGAATTGGTATTAAATGCTCAGTATTTATGTTTCTCCAAGAGGATTCATCTTTTCCCTCTCACTTGAGTCACTTGAAAAGAATAAAGCAAACAAACAAAAACTAAGCCAGCTTGCATACATTTTTAATTCAGAATAAAGAGTAAGAATTCAATGAGATCTGGAACATTAAGTAGGTATTCCCTTTGGCTACGCATTTTTATTTGTTTTGAATTAATTCATAAGGAGGTCAAACCAACAGAGCACCAGTTGAGAACTTGATCTACAGTGGATGAGTAACACTCCCTGTATAATGTGCATAAGTTGCAAATAGAGTGATAACGTTCATAGCTGCCACACAGAGTCAGGAAAGTTTCACACAACGTTTGAGGGGGAAAAAAAAACACAGAAACAGTCCAATCTCTGGCAGAGCCACCATATGGAGTTTACTGCAGAAACATACGTTTTGGCCACTCAGCATAGCTCTGCTGCCAACAATGATAGACTGAAATATTTCTTTACAAGATATGATATATTCCTATAATGAAACAATAAATCCTAACCAGAGACGTTCAGCCAGTTCAGCCAAATCTTTATCAGAATAAGCAGGATAAAAGAAAAGCTTCAGCATACACTATAGTTTCCACAGCGGTAAAAAGATGAGATTAGAGTGTAAGTTTATGGCATATGCAGAAGATGTTTAGAAAAAAAATACTCAAATCTATTTAGACAGTTGTTAATTTACCTGCATCAGATCTCTTGCTAAGATACCAGCCTTTATTACAGCATGGTCAAAACCAAAAAGCGGCTGCCTGCAGCAGATCCATCAGCCTCCTCAAGCCTCCTGAGTTTTCGTGTGCCAAAGTTACCGAAGTATAAATGGAAAATAAGAAAGCTGAGGCAGACAAGCTCCAAACAAAAGCTTATGACTGCCACGCCATCTGGCACAGCCTCACACCCTCTGCCACACCAGAACATGAACAGTTGCAGGGGAATAGTAGATCTGCTGTAAGGATGTATCTTCACTTCACTCATAAGCACACAGCCTGTACCAACCCAAAGCCAGGTGAGACTGGATCTGGCAAGAGGACCTTGATGGACTGTCTCCACTGCTCATTTCTCCTCTGTGTCCCCTTTTCCATTGTCCTGTAGCAGCATCTCTAAGCCTTTTTGAGCTACCGGGTCACAAAAGAGCTTGTATATATGCTCTTCTGCTAAAACAATAGAAACTACTTAATCTACCAGAGCTGTTTCCACTCTGAAAATCAGCTTAAGAGGCTCTTTAGGAGCTTTAGGTGTTTTGAAATCAAGAACTTTCACACATCCACCTGTGATGACTTAATTTAGCTGAATTAGTTCAATGTCTCTCTCAAGTTCTTAAGAGGGAGATGTCAAGTGACAGAAGGTTAGACTTGCATAGGAAAATATAGCATTACAAGATAAGTCATTTCCTAAGGAAGGCTGGGAACTCACTTCTAGACCTGGAGAGCTGGGCTGTCCTATTTCCAGAACTGAGCCATAGTCTTTCAGAACTAAGACCAGCCTGCTTTAGGCAGATGTCTACTGAAAAAGGTCACGGATGGGTGACACATGGAAGTATCAACTAAGCCAAAGCTAGAAGAATTCTGCAGCTGCAGCAGAGGGCAGGAGGATACAAAAGCATTGGTGAAACCTCCCAGAACAGCTGGTTCAGGAAAAGAAGCTGCTATGAAAACAATATTCAGTGCTGTAGCATGCTCCTTCGTGGATGCGCTTGGATTCTGGTCGCTCAAGTGCAAGCAATTAGGAAGCAAGCACTGTTCAGATTGCCATGAGAAACACAAGAGCTGACTTCAGCTGAATTGCTATTATTTTTCTTGAAATTGCAAATTTTAAAATTGCATATTTTTTTTTTTCTGTTCAAATATCTATTCTAACCCCAAATTAATTTTAATCTCAGTTCTGCCTGTAGCCAAGGAAAGGTAGATGTCTGTAGGTTTTCAGAGATAGAATCCCGCGTTTTGTAAGAAATGTGACGTCTGAAGCATTCAGAACACATTTTCAGAACACACATTGGATTTATCATCTATCTTCTCACTTTTCACTTCTACATCCAGTTCCAGCTGCTTACTGATGTTTCAAATTGGAAATGACTGAAGTCTGTTCCTATCTATCAATGCAAACCCATTTCAGTTTTGGATCGGTCTCTACAGCTTTTTGACCTAGTTGTATCCTCTTTGGTCCACATTTTTTCTGTTGAGCTGAACTGAAGATTATCAGTGAAATTCTACATCAATTTATCACTTCGACACCTATAGATGTTCATACCAGAAGAGAATGGGAAAAAATAGGAAAATAAAATGCATTAGAAAGGCTATCAATATGCTGAACGTACTATTGACTTTCCCCAAGCACAAGATAAGAAGGCTTAATTGATTTCTCTGTCAGCCTTACCTAAAATTCTCACTTGAAAATAATGGTCAAAACTACAGATTTCACTTGCAAAGAAGGAATCAACATTTGCAGATTATTCCTGGAGTACACGCACCTGCTCAGTAAGCAATACCCACAATCTGGAGCACAGTCACCAAAGATACAGCACAACTAATCAAAAGCAGCAATCAACAAGTTTGCTATCTGCCAGGGCTCCAGGCTGGTTTATCTCATTCAGCCAGAAGGCTTTTGTCACCTTTAGCTTCTTACATGTGCCTGTCCATGTGTTTGTAGCTCGCCTGTCTAAAGTGCACAGACTCTGAACCCAAAGCTACTATCACAAACAAGACATAATTCCAAAAGGTGCCTCCTGGCATTTAAGAAGAAAGAAAAGAAACATCTGTTACTGCAAGCTAAATCATAGTTCTGCTATCTACATATATGAGAGGCAACCAAAACCTGAACCATCATACACAATTACCCTCCAAAAGCATCTCTTACAGTGCCATTTTTATTATGGCTTTTCAAGCTTTTTCTTTGTTGAAAATAACAAAATATTATAGCTATCTTCTTGCAAAACAGGAATTTATCCCTTATTAACACTCTTCAGCAAAACAAAGACAAATAAAGGTTTTTCAATGACCGTCCCAGACATGAGTGAAAACACAGAAAGGAACAGTTGTACTTATTTACAATAACTATATTGGACATTTCAGATATTTGCATGTAGGTGCAGCTCTTACTTGAAAGAAAAACAGAAATCAAACTAAACAAACAAGCACTAATACACGTCATTTAGCATTCCTTACCTTGGAACCTGCCAATATAGTTTTCAGCAATTTCGTTCCCTTTCCAATACCAACCACTGCAAAGACAGAAAGAGAAATTACACTTCCAAACCAGCTTTGCAATTCCCTTCTTCAACACCATTATGAGATAAGCTCTAATGTTAAAAAAAAAATCAGACTATAGAAATAAAGAAGTCTAAGGCAGAAGACAAATAAGCTTCACCTAGTTCTCAAAATGCTTTAATTTGACTCCTAGATTTATTTATCTTTTAATCACCAGAGAAACAGATAGTGCAATTAACCCCGTCTCTCATTTGATGAAAGCTTTGGCTTGCTAATAATGAGTCTGGACTGCATTGCAAGTAAAATGGGGCTTTCAAATGCTGATAGAGGCAAAGAGTAACACAGCCAAGGCAGCATAATGAAACAGTTCATGGAAGTCACAGCAACAAAGTAAATTAATCAAAAGGTCCAACCAGGCTGTCGGAAATCTTTCCTAGTCAGGCCCCTGTGTTACTGTATACGCACAAACCACTGTTTCTTCCATCCTAAATCAGTATTCTGCAAAGTAATTCTCAGTCAGGTTTTCACAAGACAAGCAGATGGGAAAAGGCAGTATTTTACGTTTTACTTCAGAGCTTTTTTACAACAAGGTGCTTGCTTTGGATAAGCCTTTCTATTGATTTGCTCCACATACAGCAATCCAAAGAAACAATAACAACAGAAGGAAGATGGAGAACTGGGATGAGTCAGATACATTGCCACGACACACGTTCCTGAGAACACTGCCATGCTATCTACTGTAATTCATTGCAGAAATTCTCCACTGTGTCACATCAAGAAAAGAAAAAAAGCACTAATGAGAAATTAAGGAATTGTTCCACAATTGTTCTACTATTAAATAATAAAGGGTCACCTTGACCTTTCCTGAACTATATAGGCGAAATTATTTCCACACACAAGCTAAGGAATATGTAACAGCTGTCCTTGATATTAATAAAACTACAGGAGTTAAGTGCATTTGAAACAAATCAGCTTTGTACTAACTTGAGTCAAAAAGCCAAGAGCATCTAGCTCAATAATGACTACTTAAAACAAAAAAGAAAAACAAAACCACATTTGTGCTCTAATGTTTCTCAATCTTAACACTCTTGAGATTCATAAGACTTCCTATTCTCAATAATTCTCCTCTTATTCCTCAGGGTTTTTACAGTCACATATGCCTTCATCTTTGTAATTCCTTGTACCTTCAGTTCAGCCTGTTCCTGTCAAATTCACCAGGCAGAGCTACAACAAGGCTGAGAAATGAAGATAAGCACACATAAAACTTTATAACCAAGCACTTTTCTTGCAACACACTGACATCACTCATAACTTGGATTAAAAAATAGCTACTTCAGTTTTAGAAGTATTACCGTTGCTCATTGACCACTGCCTTTTTATAGATGGTTTAGAATTCCCTAGGACACAGGGCCCCACCAGCACAGGGCTGTCTACCACCTGGCCCATAAGTTGCCCATCATTCATGCCGTACATATCACTGATCTCTGCCTCCAAAATTCTTCCTCATCTACACCCGCCATAAATATAAGAAGAAATACCAAAGCACATCTTCTGATGAAAACCACTGCCCAGTTATTTGCAGTACACCCCACACACCAAGCAAGACTCTGCATCAGCAATTCATACGAGTGAAGTTGCAGACATGCAACTTGTATAACCTTTTATTCTTTCCCATTGTTTCACATTTCAGAAGATAAATACTTCATTATGCTAAGATACATGAAGAAAGAAAGCTTCCTGACCCCTCCTACTACACACACAAAAGCAGAACACATCTTAGGAATGACTTGATTCTATCATGTTCTTCCTTTTCTCCTAATCATTTTAACCAAATCCCCAAGTTATCTCAACACACGGCCTTTCCTGCTCCTCTCTAGTCTTGTCTTTTCCAATCTAACTACCATTGATTTTTCTCTGTGTGCTTTGTATGGCAGTGGAATGAAACATTCTATACCTTTTTGGATCGATCCATAGCATATTAAGGTGATACACTTCTGTCTTTACCAAGCACATCAAGCCCAAGTACTTTTTGTCACACCACACGAGCTGGCTTTGGAGACTGATGGATATCAGAGAATACTAGGAGAAGCAATTAAGGATGACAAGAGATTTTTCTTTCCCTCTGGATCAATGCTGTTGACTTACCACAGTGAGCAGTAGTATGCTCATTGGGGACATCCCTGAAAAGCAGAAGCATCCACTTCAGCCAGATACACAGTATTCTCTGGTGAGTGGTCACACAGCACAGGAAGACAGAGTTAGTGCTTCTCTTCCAGCCCAAGAAGGGTATGTTTCAAAACATTTACAGGTGACACAGAACAATTATCAGCATATATAGACCTCCACTAGCAACAGGCTCCACAAACATTCCTGGAAGTATTGTTCCTATCACAGTAAAACTCAATAGATATCTCATCTCATTAGAATTCAGTGGATATACTTGTGTATAGTAAATGCTCCCCCTGTTGATTTTCAATACCAAAGAAGTATCGCTGTTACTTCTTCAGGCCAAGTTGAGCTACAAAACCGTGGTGAAAGCAAGCTGTAGATTTTAGCATTACTCATCAATGAAACCATTGGTGACAGTGTATGATACGGGATTAATCCAGTCTAATTTTCACAATTACAGCTGAGTTCTCAGTAATAGCAACTGATACATCGTAATCGTTAATGGAATGAAGAAATTCAGTAAATAGATGATAGGACAAGGGGGAACGGTTTTCTGGCGAGACAGGGGAGGATTAGGTGTTAGATATTAAAAGGAAGTTTTCCACAGAGAGGGCGGTGAAGCACTGGAACAGGTTGCCCAAGGAGGTTGTGGATGCCCCATCCCTAGAGGCATTCAAGGTCAGGCTGGATGTGGCTCTGGGCAGCCTGGTCTGGTGGTTGGCAACCCTGCACATAGCAGGGGGCTTGAAACTAGATGATCACTGTGGTCCTTTTCAACCCAGGCCATTCTGTGATTCTATGATTAGAAAGCAAAGCCTCACACAGAATCACAGGGGTCAGAAGGGGTCTCTGAAAATCACCTCATTGATGACTGTTCTTTAATGAGGAAGAGAAGACAGCAAGTGAAAAATTCTTGAGGCTTAGCACAGAAGTAAACAGCACCTGAATTGCTGTTACTCATTTTTTATTTGACAAGTATTATAACCCCCAAAGGTTCCCTCAAAATCCCAGAAACACATTAAGGAACAAATACTTTAGAAAATTACAACGGCTATAAATCCCCAGCTTAACTAAAAACAAAACAAACAAAAAATAACACATAAATTTCAAAGGCAACTTAGAAAACGTGGCGGGATACATGGTGGGATGTAGTGTGAGGAATGTGAGCAATGACCAACAAAGTTGGTTATCTCAGGAAGTTAAAAAACAATAACAACAACAAAACTTGTTCAGGCACTTATTATACGTATGTACAAGTACACAAAAAGGAAATGTAACCCAGGACACTCTTCTCCAGTAACCCAAAGCCGCAGTGTGTGCTGCACGTATCCAGACCATCCCTCCACCTCCACACGGAGGCACAGAAGTGTCTCCCACGTCCTGTGCCTGCATTTGTACTGCTCATTACCCAGAACTCCTGTTGCTGCACTGTCCAAAGTCCCACCATGTCCAATTTTCAAGGCTTGCTTTTTTCTTTTGTTATCTTTTGTCTGCACACCGGCTTCTGCAAACAGAAATGGAAAGAAGGCGTTACAAGACAACCTCAGAACCCAGGAAGGGGCGCGCAGATCCCCCAGCCCAACCGCCCGCCTACCTGCCAGCAGCCTCTCCTTCAGCAGGTTGAGCACGGCAGCCGAGGTGGCCCCTTTGGGCTTGTAGACGGCGAACAGCCCGCTCAGGGAGAAGAGCTTCTCAGCCGCCCTGCCCCCCAGCTCCCCGCTGGCCATGCTCAGCAACCCAGCGCGCCTTCCGCCCCGCCGCCCGGGGGCCTCTGGGAAACGCAGTCCGCCGTGCGGAAGGGCGGGGCGGCGCGGGCCGGGCGGTGAGCTGCAAGCGAGAGGCTGCTGGAAGCTGACACGTAGTGAATGGCCAGAACGCCTGGAGTCCCTGCAGAGCAGCCTCCGCAGCGGGGCTGGGCCGCACAGCCGGCTGAGTCCAATCAAAGCCCGACTAAAGGGCCCTTTATCAAAATATGCTCCATCTGGCCCCCACGAAATGGTGCTGGTATCAGGGCTTTCTACCTGTGCTTACAGCATGCGAGAACGTGCAGGATCAGGGCCCAACTTTTAACTGCAAATCTCAAGCACAGAAGGTATATTTTGTGGCTGTGTGCAACTCATGCTGTCCTATGGCGTGAGCACAAAAACACACGGCCTTCTGGTAAACGGGTTTGGAGAGCTGCTGCCTCTCCCCCTCAGCCATCACAGTGTTAAGCATTGTACCTTTCTTGCTCAACTTAACAGAATTATATTCTGCTGACTACTTGCTCAGTCCATGAATCTTCCTGCCTTCACATGTGCCCTACAAGGAGGTACCGCTAAGGCAGGCTCTTGCTTCTCACAGCAGTGCTGCATGAGGGCTTTCTTCTTCAGGCATGATTCGTGCAGATTCATTTCTCTGACAACGCTTCCCAGAGCATTAAAGCAAGTTATACGTGAGGTATGTGAGAGCCAAGAGCCTGGTGCCAAGGTTCTGAGAGCCTGGATGCTTCAGTCATTCATTTCAGTTATTCACTGGTAGGAGCCTGCAGGTGAAACCATGAAAAGACCCAGTTACGGGGAAATAAATACAAGTTTAGCTAAGAGCTAAGTGTGTTCCCAGTGCTTCCCAGAGCTTGAGAAGCAAACATTCCTGCTGAAGTCAATGGTTGTCTCTGCACAGAGCAGAACCAAGGCCCACGTGTGCATAAACACTTGTTCAGCCTGCTCTGGAGGCTCTCCCAGTGCCTGCTCACACTGTCCTCAGCAGCCCCAGGGACACCCAGTGCTCCAGCTGTCAGCACTTGCAGTGCCCAGCAGCCTCCCTGACACACGTGTGGCATGTATTACTAATGGGCTCTTCTTACCAAGGAAGTTTGTCTTCAGGACAAACAGGCAGACAGGCTTAGAGGTGCCCACCAAAACCATTCCTTATTATTAAAAGAGTCGGGTATTTACATAAGAGCTCTGGAACTATCATGCAAGATTTTAATTATGCACCTTATTTGCTTAGATCGCATTTACATATCTGTAATCTAGCTGTGGCAATATTTGCTGCTACCTTAAGCTGTGAGGGTGAATTCTCAGATGAGTGACACACATGGCCATCACTGCAGGACATGGAAGCAAGGTGTCAGCGTCCTTCTCCATAAGACAAAATGTAAACAAAAAAGCAAACAACAAAAAATACTTTTCATAAGGTCAGCAGAATTGCTACTGAATGACATGGAGTTAAAATTGACGCTGCAGTGTGGAATGCATGTGGTGAGCTGTGATGGAATTTCTCTTGTGGATACAGCATAGTCAGGCTAACCTCCTGAAAACCACTTGAAAAATAGTCTCACAAATGCCCTGCTAAAAAGTGCTTCAGCACAGATTGCTCTGTGAGAGCTCAAGTAAAACTATTTAAACATTACTGTTAGGAAATGGTGCAGCAAGCTTCCAGGCAAGGAGACTGCAGCCCACGGACTGAAATGCAGACCTGTCAGACAGTCATGCCCAGTGCTATCTGTAGGTCGGCAGACTGCTCTGAAAGCATTGCTGAGGAGCACAGGGACATTACACAACAGTGAGAGCTCTCAGTGGCATAAAGATGTCCCTAATGCTAACGAAACCTCAGCTTTCCAATTACGAGGCAGCTGACAGGGCCTGTGATAAACCTCAGTGCTTTACCTGCTAAGGACTGAGCTAAGCTGAGAATTGTCCAAAATGGTTTGTCTGCTGTAATTACCCTGACACAGACACAGGGCATGAGCTGAAGGTCAGTGTCTGACCTCGGTACTGTTCTCACAAATTACCAAAAGCCTTTTCCTTCTTCTTTTTTTCTTTTGAGAACAGGTGTTTAAATGGGTTTCAGCTATTTCTTCCTCTCAGTTTTAGGACTGAGCAGCAAGTTCTTGTAGGTTTCCCAATCTTCTGCAGCAGCAATTAAAACCCAACACTTTGTTACCACAGCAGATGGGGTCTTTGAAGGCTTAGAAAGAAGAGGTTTGCTTTGACTTTACCGGGCATTGGAAAAGGGCCCAAAAGAAGAAATGTGAGAGACTATTAATGACTGTCAGTATTTCAGTTAGCTAGAAGGATGTGAGTGCATAAATCACATGTGGCTTGCTTCATGGGGCAAGGTTATTCAGCATTCAAAATGGTGGGAACAATGTACCGAACCGTTCATCTCCAGGGCATCATTTCAGATTTGCCTCATGTTGCTAGTGATTAAAAGTCATTACCATCTGCTCAGTAGCCTATTTGAAATGAGATGTTTATCTCCAACGATTTCTAGCCAAGCCAGGATCCAAAACAACCAAAAGCATGATTAGAGTTAGTGATTTTATTAGCAACCTTAATAAAAAAGGCTCAGTAAAAGGCTGAAAGGATATTGTTGCTTTATGCATGAATGTTGGTAGGGCTAATAGAGATGGGCCAAAAGTTCCCTGCAGGTCACTGGAATTGCATGGATCAGTACCTCGAGAGTCTGGTGCAATTATGCTTTATAGAGAAGAGATGATAGTAGCTGTACTGTGTGCAAACTGCAGATAAGTGCTGTTGCAGGAGGTGAATCTTTTACTTCTTTGTGCAGAAGAGAGATGCAGCGCTTCCTTCTCCATAAAGATGCTTACCTGTCTGCTTTCAGACTGACTTTTTCTGAAGTAAACATAGAATCATAGAATGACTTGGGTTGGAAGGGACCCCAAGATCATTCAATTCCAACCTCCCTGCCACAGGCAGGGCCACTGATCTCCAGATCTGGCACAGGACCTAGGGCCCCATCCAGCCTGGGTTTGAACACCTCCAGAGCAGCTTTACTCTCTGTATCCAAATCAGCAGATAATTGCAGGGAGGTCAATCACAGCTCATATTCCTGCAAAAACAGAGTTGCAGCTGTTTGAAAGTATAAGTCCTCCTCAGGACCAGCCAGAGGAATTTTGTCCGTATTGGGAACCATAAAAGCCTAAAGTACACAGAATATTTTTCCTCTAACTGTTCCATCTGGTTGCAATAAGGCACAGATAAATAACTCTTCAACCTGTTAAGTTTATTCAGTCCTATCTGGGTGGCACGAAGCACGTACTTGATTGTGCGTGAGTGGAATTCTGAACAAAAGTAAGTCCTTCAGCACCTTGTTGATCCACAGCAGTTCTGAAAGAAGAACGTCAATTATTGCATGTGAGGGAAAGTATGGCAAGTGCCATACTGGGGCTAGGCTTGGTATTTTTTGTTACTTATTGCCTCCCTTGTGCTAAGCTGCAAGTACGCAGGTGTGTGTTTTGTTCAGAACAAGATCAGTAGTCTGCGTTTGTGGATTTTACACCCAGGAGTTTGCTTAATTTCAGGAATATCTTCCTTCCACCTTTATTCTGTGTTCTCTGAGAATTATTTTTAGTTGAGAATAGTTTAGATAAAGTGTAAGTTTTGGTTAGCTGATTTAATGCAGGTTTATAGTCTCAAATTGAGTTGGATTCGACAATATAGTACAATTGAAATGTTTTTAGTTATTCCTTCTAATGTGAAGTGCGACTCTGACAGCTAAATAAGGGTAACCACTGATAGGTCACAAATGCTGTGGAACTATGGAGAAATATGACACAGATATGATTTAAATTGTACCTTAAAGAGCTGATTGCATTCGTAGGTGAGGACATAGCTGTCACAGACTGGGAAGTTACTTCTAACCTCTGATCCGTGTCCAGATGTGTCTGTAATGACATGGGATGGAGCACAGTCTGGAATCAGAAGAGTCAGTGATGCTGTAAGGAGAAAAATACATTCTGCAGATCTTTAATTTCATTGCTAATAAAAGTCTCAGTAGGATTCTCAGTTCTTGTTTAAATTTGCACAGTTTCTTCTTGCAGTTACTGTCGAAGAACTAATTTTCCAAGAAGCTGCATCCTAATTAGGAATGACAGAGAACTCACCAGATGTGCATGCGGAGCAACGCAGTACATGAGGGATTGTTTATACGGACAATTCAAGTCCGAACTGCCCCCTGTAAGTTTTGACCATGAGGTTAAGAAGACCCAGACACTCCTAAATCCGAGAAACTGCCACTGCTACACTCAATTCAGCAAGATGAGCTGAACTATAGTGTATACTTTTATCTGATCTGGGCTTTTTTCAATTCAATCTTGATTGGAAGACACTGGGAGGCAGAAAAGAAAAGGAACACAAGATTCACAAGTACTTCAATTTGATATTGGTTTTCTTGCCTGCCTTTGTACAATTTCCATGTTCAGGTGAGTGTGTTACCAGTGTTACCAACCAGCCCTCTAGTGACCCACTGTCACCCTGTGAGCACACTTACATAGTCTGATGAGCAGTTTGTGATGGATGTGCAGCAAAGAGAATACCTGGGCTTCCACACCTCAGTGAGATGCCCACCTTTCCTCACCTCATTTGACTGAAGGAACAGATTATATCTCCAGAAAGAAAGCCAGCTTCTTCTAGCATTAAACTTACATCATAGTTAAATAAATATTGTGTAATTTCTTGGCACAAGAAAGCTGAAGCCTAGGAAGTCCTCATCTAAGGAGAATAAAAGCTAAAACACTCCAAAAGTTCCAAGACATTCCTGATTTGGGTTTCAGATTCGGTGTTCTTGGGCTGCAGCAATGACACAGCCACCTCCTCTGCACAAGCAGCTGGGTTGGTTCAAGTTCCCAACACGCTACTGGCAGCAAATACTTGTGAAAAGCATAATGAAGACTGCAAGGAGTCTACATACACCTTATGTACCTCATTAGCCCAAGAAAATGGCTATGATAAGAAGGTCAAAGCTGTA